CTACAAATCCAAAATGGAGGTGAATGCGCGTAATGGTAGAACATCAGTTGATAGAGTAGACACAACTACCTGGTTAGCATGTGCCACGGATGGGAGCCAAGTGAGTCAGAGAAAAACCAGAAAGGATGGATAAGAGGTAAGGAATATTGGGTCACAATACTTATCAAAGTATGTACCAAACTAGGTTGTGTTCCACAGATCCAGCTTCGAAGGTGGATCCGTGTACTGATGTGAAATTGGTTGACAAAGTATACACTGCTACCTGGTTAGTATATGCCACGTAGTTGAGCCAATCGAGTAGTTACCGACCGGGAATGGATTTAAGTGGGGAAGCCTGAGAGTGATGAACAACAAACCACGTCAGCGGCACCCCTAAGCCCTAGGGCACGCGTTGCTAAAACGGCAACCGCAGGGATTAGTGTGCAGGCCGCCGGAAACAGGCGGGGAACCGACAAGGCTACCCAGTGTCACTTGCCACCAGGGAAAGCGCACTTGATGCGCGCATGGACGCTAACGAAGAAGCCATTGCGAAGCTCGCCGAAATCACCACCAGACTGAGAAACTGGCCCAAGGGATGAATCTCTAGGGCACGAAGACCACAATAGGGTGGTGGACCCGCAGGGAAACTCCACCTCAAGATCAGAGGTAAAAAACTTGGAGGTCACCTGGGAGCAACTCCAGGGTGCAACCCCTCAAAAGCAATAGGGGGTAAAAGGGCGTAGGCTCTCAGGGTTTACTACACTAACGCCTGCAGCCTAATGAAAAAGTGGGCCGAGCTCTGGGCTGAGACTGACCAAACGCACTGCCTCGCTATAACGGAGACCTGGCTCAAGCCTGACTTTTGTATCGCGGGCTTCTGTCCACCAGGATTCCAGGCTCACCGCTGCGATCGTCCAGGGGATAGGTTGGGGAGTGGTGCTCTACTGCTCGTGGCAGACCACTTTCCTCAGACGGCCGTGGATACCCTGTGCACGGAGAACATTCAGGCTGCCGGGTGCGTAATCAAGCTCTCAGGAGCAAGATTTGCAGTCCTGTGTGTTTATCGTAGCCCAGGCGCAGGCATCGACGATAATGAGTAGCTGATAGATTTTCTCCGGCACACAACAACTCGGGCAAGTAGGATTCTTGTTCCGGAGGATTTNGTGATGCATGAATTGGCGCTCACCCAGCACGTCACCGATCCTACCCGAAGGCGACTGAGTAACTCTCCCAGCACCTTAGATCTTGTGTTTAACAAAAGCAGGAATGGCATCAGGATCACTGCCATAGGTGCACTGCTAGGTAGAAGTGACCACTGTATTATCCGGTGCCAATATGGCTGTGCTCTTCCGCTTTCTCAAGTCAAATTGA